TCAACAGAAACAACAACAAAATTACATTTGTATAACGTCTTTCAAGTCGGGAAGACGTCCCAAGGCGCTGGACAGTCAGAATTTCGGACCCGAGCTGGAGGGCAGCTTGGGTGAAGCAGGGTGATCAAAAGCACGATCAAAGAGGAGTCTTGAGATGGGTCTTGAAGGAGGCAAGGGAGGGGGCGAGGCAGAGGGACTGTGGGATGGAATTCCAGAGGGTGCGGGGCAGAGTAGCAGAAACCCCACACGCCAATGGTGGGGCGAGCGAGGTGAAGCAGGCCGGAGCCCGCTGAGCGGAGGGAGTGAACAGGATGGTAGGGGGTTAGAAGGTCGCAGATGTAGGGGGGCGCAAGACCGTGGAAGGGCTTGCAAAAAAGTGTGGAGGTGCTGACAGGAGCCGATCAGGAGAGCCTCAGCTTCGTTGACGTACAACTGAAGAAAGTTAGCTCTCATTCAGGACTTGATGTCATTTGTCACCTTGACCGGGGGTGTTTCTGTGTTGTAGGCGACACGGAAACCCAATTGGAGGGGTTCGTGAAGGGAGTGGCGGGAGAGAAAGAAGCGAAGCTGGGAAGCAACAATTCATTCCAGGACCTTGGAAAGGAAAGGGAGGTTGGAGATGGGGTGGTAGTTTGAGAGTAGAGATGGGTCCAGGGAGGGGGTTTTTTTAAAAGGAAAAGATTGATGAAGGCAATTTTTAATGGGGTGGGAACAGTACCAGTGGACAGGGAGGGGTTTATGATGTCTGTGAGTAGAGGGGCAAGGAGGTGGCGCTGGGAGGTAAGGAGATGAGTAGGGATGTGGTTGAGGGAGCAGGTGGTCAGTTTTATGCGGGAGAATTCAAAATTCAAAAGAGAAAGGAAGTTCCCCTTGTGTCCTGGCCATAAATCGCCCAAATAAAATGAGTCATTTGCTTCATGGCTGTTTGTGCGACATTGCTGTGTGCAAATTGTTTGTTGGGTTCACATACAAATATGCAGCAAGTACACTTTACAATAAATCCTGTGAATTGCTTTGAGATGGTGAAGAAGTGCTTGCATTTCTCAACATTGCACTGACTCAGGATGAATCTATTGCCTTGCCTCAATAATCTGTGGTAATGACATAGCTGTTTAATTTGGACAAAGTGACAAGGAGAGAGCATGGTGGAAAAGTTCTTCCTCTGAGCTCTGAGGAGAGACATAGGAATACTGAGAGAAGTTTTTTCAATTTTATTCAGCGATGATGGTTAATTGTAAAAGCAGAAGATAAATTGGCAAAACTTACCAAAAAAAGAAAATCTGAGCTTGAGTCAATGAATCCACCATATGTGGCAGCTGATGAAACAAGAGATGTTAAAGAAATCTCTGAATAAAATCCCAAAATAATTTCTCTCTCTTAATGTTCCCTAGCCTCTCCTCTACAGCAACTCCAGCTCATAGCAGAACTTTTCCGCCATGCTCTTTCCTCGTCACTTTGTCCAGTTAGGTCAATTCGAATTAGGCAGCCATGAACTTAACATTGGTATTGAGGCAAGGAGCTAGAATTCGGACAGGCTAAGGCAGTGTAGTGTTGAGTGATGCAAGCTCTCCTACATGCAAGACTTTTCTCAGATTGCATTCACGTCATGTCTCAAACCCACCATTAAAGAAAGTCCCTGGGGGCACAGAGTTATTGCTTGCCTTTCTGGCAATAAGAAATTATTTTAAAATATTGAACGGATAAATATTTAGGTTAGAGTTTGAATAGAAATATACAAAACTGTGGAATCTAACAAAATATATTCATGATCTCCCTTGTCCTCCATATATAGGTCTTGTTATTGGAGGCAGCAATAGACACCAAGTGGACCCAGGAAGGAAACAAAAGAGAGAGCAAGGCGGGACAATAGTAACAATAATAATCCTAGCATTTAATAAAGTGCCTTTCACATCAGGACGACATTTCAAAGAGCTCCACAAGATTTAGCATGAAATGTAATGACTGAAGTATTGGCAGCCAATACCCCAGAGCAATACCCCACAACAGTGATGAAGTGAATGACCAATTTGATCAGGTGGGGGGGGTGTGGGGGTAAGTGGAATTTTTGGCCAGAATACTGGGGAAAACTCCCTTCCCTTTTTGAGAAGCGCCATGGGATCTTTAATGTCCACCTGAACAGGCAGACAGGACCTCGGTTCAACATCTCATCCGAAGGTCAGCATCTCCAACAATGCAGTCTCCCCCCCACACCCCCCAGCACTGTATTGGAGTGTCAGTCTAGACTACTTGTCCAGACTTGAACCTGCAACCTTCTGACTCGGAGGCGAGAGTACTGCCAACTGAGCCAGGCTGACCCTAATGGCAGTGTGTAGACTACCTTCAAAGAATGAACAAGTCCACACCAAAGGAAGGTTAAACTAATATTTGTATTAATTTATTTATCCTTCACATACAGAATGAATTAGGAAACGTTGACTTGATCCGAGTGAGAGAGAAAAAGGAGAGAGAAAAAAGAATCAGGCAGACAAACGTCCTGCTCTGCTCCAAATGACTATCCAATGACCCATACTGGATCATTCCTGGGATCTCTGGGCACCTCTAGAGCTGCAAGATAGGAGCAGGAATTGTGTGAGGGAAGCAGTTAACCTGCAGCCTTTTGTTCTGTGGGACAATTGCAACAGCAACTCTCGAGTGTTAGTGTTACAATGAGCTGCAAAATCCCACCAAAATATCCACGTTCTTAAGGTTGAAGAAAATAAACAACCCACGACTGTTAGATTTTAGTCAGTCACGGACTAAGCTTAGGAAATGATGTTTAGAATTTACTTTTGCTCATTTTTAAAATGGAGAATAAACAGGAAGCTTCTCACTCGAATTAAAAAAGAAGTACAATAGTCTGGCATGTGCTAAAGCAATTTATGGGGTTGATTAAAAGTTAACAATGTTTTAAATTAGAGGACTTTGTGCAGCAGTCCTGGAGTTCCGAGAGAATCAGAACTTTCAGTAATCTCCCTGAACTCAAGAGTCTGTCTTTAACACCCGCCTTGTCTTGACCTCAAACCATAGGTAAGCATCACGGTGACATTAAACAGTTTGCATGATTAAGAACAGTCATTAGGATTTATTCATGTTATGTAATTTATGCTATTCAGACAGCAATGGCAGAGACAGGGAGACAAGTTCCCTAAAAGAGAAAAAGGGCACTTTTGCTCCAGGCTTTTCTCACATATCCAGTATTGTTATCTGGCTAGCAGAGATCACACAAAACAGGAAGCTGGTGGTTCAGGAATTTGCAAACCTCTCAACGTCAACACAAATTTACACCATGAATCAAGAGTCCCTTGGTAACTTTGGCTTTTCAGCATAAATTGCATCTCCTGAATGGAGAGGCAACTAGTGTGTAAGGTATGAGCAGATTCGGAGCCAGGAAACCAGGCTACAATCTGCTGCAGAGGCAAGGTTATAATAATAATAATCCTTGCATTTGATATAGCGCTTTATCACGTCTTTGAGATGTCTCAAAGTGCTTCACAGAATATACTGTAATGTGAATTGATTGTATATTTTGTGAGCGAAACCCAGCAGTCAATTGCGCACAGCAGTGTCCCACAAACAGACGTGGATTGAGCGACTAAATATTGTTATTAATGTAAAAGCAGAATCTGATGTTACAGCAGTGTCAATGGCCAAACAAAATATATGGTTAAAGCATGAACTTCCACAACAATATTTAAACCTCAGTGTTATATATTTGATCTGACTATCACGCAATGCCCAAAAAAAACAAGATACTAATGAGAGAAAGACATTAATCAATTCCTACAAAATTCTAATAGTTACCTTAACTCCCTGGCTCACCAAACTGTACACCAGGTGTCTGGAATTTGTACCTAGCTGGACCTGGCCTGAAACCGAATTTTAATTTTAAAAAATCCGCAGAACCACTCTCTATCCACGTATCTGCGGCTCACTCTTCTAGCTTTCCCCCACACCTCATCGTGCTGCATGGATGCCCTTCAGTGGCCAGAGATATCCCTTTGACTCAGTTTGAATCCCACGAGCAGAAGATAAGCTTATTCGCTATCCTCTGTTCTCGGAGTTCAAACAATTACAATGCCGTTACCGTCAGCACTGAAAAAAGCCAGTAAAGCACTGTAATTACACTTAGCCGGAAATTCCAGCTCACCGGACCAGATCGGATCTCCCCGCCACCCCCCACTGATCCAGCTAGCATTTTAAAAAACACTAGTTTTAGTGTATTGAGGAGACAGTAAGTGCTCAACCAAAAAGAACATTTAGAGAGCCCTTGGGCAATGAACTGGGCAATGCTCTGCCTTAACCCACTGCCCTTTCACCTCTGTGACATGGGTTTGAAGTTAGCTGAGATTGATGGGATGAAAGTCTTGCTCGGCTGTTGGGAACCCTTGTTAAATGATTGTTGGCAGGTTGCGGAGTTCCTATTGGGCATGGACCACAACACAGAACTGTCCCTAATTTGGTGCTAATTGGTATTTTCACTCAAAGAAGCTGCAATGTCTACCGGTATCAATTTTCTGAAACAAGCCACTGAACAAAGGCAAAATAAAACCTTGCTGGTTAAATGTAGCGAAATTCTCAGGTTAAAGGTTTATCAAGGTGATGCATTACTTCTTATAGATACAGACAGGCCATGTGAACAGATTGTAGGGTGACATTTACAAAAGTAATCCCACAGCTAGTGAAGCTGTGGGGGAGTGGGGAGGAGGGAAAGAAAGGGTTGAGAAAAGAAAGGCATTTACAAACATGGACTGAATTCCAGCCACACATTTTACGCTACCATTTGCAGTCAAGGTCTAATAAATTAACAGCACAATAAACAAATGCTACACTCTGGTGGAGGAAGGGAAACCCGGAAGTTGAACCAGGCAATATTAACAACATATCGCATGGTTTTCTGTCTCCGTTGTTCAACAAAGCATTTGTTTCAAACAAAAAATAAAAGTTTATTCATCACAACAAATGGGGCACAATGAAATGCAACTCAAGGCTAGAAACTATACCTGATAGCTTAAACAGCAGTTCTGATGCCACCTTACAAGAAATGTCCTGGCTGAACAGTTCTGACGCAGATGCACCTTCTGATGTCTTCTTTAACCTCTCAGGTGGCTCCTCCATTGTGGGAGGTTCACTGCCAAACTGGTAGCCACAGCGTGGTGACAGTATAGGATCAAGGAGCTCCCTGTCTTTAGGCTCATCTTTAGATGCAAGCTTTGGAGTTAATTCCCCCCTTTGGTTTGCAGCTGTTATTTCAAAGAGCAAACACATTAATAGAATTGAACGATGTTGGCTACGCTGCAAGAAACAGTACATTTTCTACCAATCCATTCTATAGAACTAATCTAGTAAGGTATTGATTTTCAGGGAATTTATGTTCAAAATCATTCCTCTCCTGAAAGTATTAACACAGTATCTTGCCCAAAGGGCCATTTTTTTTACAACCCACATCAGTACTCATTGCCTGACCCTAAACAGAGAGTACTGACTGATGTGCTCTGCATAAGGAACGTAAAGTAGGCTTCTAAACAATTTTTACTGGTCAATATTGTTTTGTTTGGTGAAAGTCAATCACTAAAGATAATTTTCTCCAGCATATAATTAATAAAAATGAATTAACCATGTTTTCCCCCCGTCAGCTCCCAGGGTGCTGTCCACACAAGTTTCTGGGAATTGATGCACATCACATTGGGAATCACTTTGTGCACACAAGGGATTAATGACCTTAATATAGGCATTCCCACCTTGAACATACACCTATAAACTTGGATTTCATTTGGTTGCAAGTCTTTAATATTAACTTTTGTTAATAGCAATGTTACAGATTTATAAAAAGACAGAAAATTAGACTCAGAGAGACAGAATGTGAATCAAAGAGCAAGAAAGAGAATTTTTTAAAAATGTTTTTGCAATGTCTGGCTTGTTTTGTTCAGTTTTCGGTATCCCAAAATAACTCCCGATTTTTATCACAGTTGCCTTCTTTGTGTCACAATTTTCCTCCCCCAATTTTCTAATCCAATAAAGTCCCACCAAACCCAGCAAAAATACTCAAGTTTTTAATTCTGTGACTTTAATGGTCGTTAGCTATTGAACAATAAGTTTATCAACACAGGCCTTTGCCTAAACATTCTTGATGTAGTGGACAGTTAATATCATCCAGCTTGCATTGTCCTCTCCTGATCAGGAACACAGACCAAATGTAGTGTCCTCACTAAGCCTGGCTAGCAAAGCAGATCCTTGGGTTTTCCTGGTCAGAATGGCTGAAGAAAATATACCACATAGCGATTTATCCCCAGGTGGATCAAAAGCTCATCTTTGAAACAAATGCTGTAGGTCATCAGCACATCATTGAGTTTAGACGTACAGTAGCAAAATGCTGGCGTGCAATATATAACCTGGGGGTTTTCCGACAGCATTTGTAAAACCAAGCTGATACTGCCTGGTGAGATGAGGCATCCATATCTCACCACTGTCTGGCATAGCGTATTGTACCTATCACCTTTTTAAACTCAGTCTTCAATTTAGCAAGCTTTTTAACACTTTTGCTAAAACAATTCCGCACAACTTTCTCCGCACATCTCCTGGAAGTGCTGGCTTTAGTTGCACTCCTGTACCTGCCACCCATTAACATTTTTTATACAAGTGTTGGCTGGCTACTCAATCACGAAGACATCCCAATGCAGCTTGATCCTGTCCTCATGCACTCATTGAGCAAAACTTCCAGGAAGAATCAGCAGATGGCGATTAGGAACAAGCTTATTTTCAATAACCCCAAGCCCAGGGTTTCAGAGACCAAGTGTAGCAGCTCCATAGCTGCCTCAGCTAACTCAAGAGACATGACACCTACCTGCACTAAATGAGCAAGTGCCACACGAGGCAATGCATTTACCTGGCGTACTGATGGGGCAGGTTTCAAGTGCTGGGATTGGGGTGATTGAGAAAATTTATTCACCAATTAACATTCGTTGTAATTTATCTTCCCGCCCCTCATTAAAATCCCAATGAAGAAGTAAATGTAAGAGGTATGCAAGTTCTTAATCTAGCTCAGTAGGGAGACTCTCTCACGGTTTCAAATGGGTGGCCCTGCACGCAATTCTCTCACTGATGCTAATAAGATCCGCACTGATTTTCTTGAAAGCGGATATTACGGATGAATATCCAAAAGTGAAAAAAAAATTCTAGATGTTCAATGCAGAGCGAAAGTTTGCCTCAGCGTCTGCTCAAATCAGTTAGTAGTGACTGGTGCATCGGCCAGATTTAATAATAATCATAATCCTTGCATTTGCTATAGCGCCTTATCACGTCTTCGAAACATATCAAAGCGCTTCACGGAATATACTGTAAAGTAAATTGACTGTATATTCTGTGGGTGAAATGCTGCAGCCAATACAACAGGACACTACAACAGTAGTGTCCCACAAACAGTCGTGGATTGCAGTGACCAGTTTTTTTTAAAGAAATAGATTTAAACCCCAACACGCATTGAAAATTGAGAGACTGCAGAAATCAGTAGCTCTATATTGCATTATACAGCAGGGGCTTAGACTGGAGTTGCTTAGTCTATACAGTTCCTGTGCTGGTCCAGATGCTATATGGAACTCGTAAATTGGTCCCATCTATCACAACTGGTTACAGGTCAGCACCTGAGGCACTGCAACACAGAAGGCACTATACTGTATGCCCCAGATCCAAGCAGTTGGTCACCAAGGTACAATAATCTTAAAATAGAGTGAGACTGGGTTGAATTTACAGCTTCTTATAAATTTAAGGACTGGTAGGTTTTCCAGAATTTTGTCCGTCTTGGCCTAAGCATGTTTTTTTAAACCGTCAATGAATCGCAAAACCTATAAAACAGATTTGCAAGAATATCACAAATCTGGGTTTCTGGGATTTAAACACGTTCTCTACTGAAATTACAGCTATTTAAGCAAAATCAAGTCAAAAACAGAGAACATGGCCAGTCCTGCAATAATGACCGAAGAGTTAACAAGCGATGAAATAACAAATGGATACACATCCTTTTACATTGATGGAAAGATTAATTTCTATTTATAACACTGATGCAGATAGTGATGGGAGGTAGGGAAAGAGAAAGGAATCAAGTATTTTTGTTCTGAAGTGCTCCAGCTGAAACTGTCCTAATCCCATTGTGCCACTGCCATACTGATAACTGAAGTTGGAGAAATAAGATCTTTACTTCTGCTGCCAATTCTCCACGAGAGAGCTGTGTGTGCCCCCACCTTACAATTCAAGTTATTTTTCTCCCCATTCTATCAAGTCCGCTCATCATGAAACTTACCATTTCTTCCACACGCACAATCGAGAATCTCCTCAGCCAGTGCCTCTCCTGGGAGCGCTGCTTAATGGATCGAGACCGTTCTCGATTTGTTTCTCCCCACCCACCACCACCCCCTGGTCTCTCCCTGTTAGTTGGGACTCAAGTGTCACAATGCACCACCAGGCTTCGAGGATGTTGCCATTGAGAATGATGATGCAAGGGTGTCTCCAGGCTCTGGCATTTCCAGATAAATTGTAATCACATTTTCCACATTTAAACATCTGGTTGGATCCCAATGTTTTAATGTTCCCGTGTGCCACTTTGCAAAAGCATCACGCACGGTTTGACTGGACGTCTTCTTCCTTTCTCTTTCTGTGGTGACCAAGAAGAGCCCACCTCTATCTGTCCTCATGCCCTAATATGTATAAAACTCTCAGAACCGGGTTTTAGTGTTTGTACTGCGATTATATTGCTAGAAGCACCGTATCGATTGGGGAGCGGAAGGTGGGGGCCGGGGGGGGGGGGGGGGCGGTGGGAAGAAAGGAAAAAGAGGTCCATGAAAGAATCTAAAACCAACATCCCACAAGAGTTCTGCCCAAATGCACCACAAAACACCAAAGTCAGGATAAACTGTTTTAACAGCAGAAAAAAAAGCTCAATCATTTACAGTTCCTGGGCACCTTAATAGATGCCCTGGGATTGTCAAACTGATCACAGGATAGGAGCCCAATGCCTCATATACACTGTGGCGTATGAACGAGTGGCACTGTGGCTGAAACTTTCCTCCTTCAAGGTCGGTCTCAAGACCTTTCTCTTTGACCGTGCCTTCAGCTCCCCTCTCGACTCTCTACCCCCTCCTCGCTCCCTCCCTCCCCTCACCCCTTACCATTTCCCCCCAATGCTCGGGTCCTGACCCAACTGTCCAGCGCCTTGGGACGTCCTCCCGACGTGAAACGCGCTCTATAAATGGAATCTTGTTGTTGTTGTTGTTGAAACCTCATGCAGACAGTGTAAGAACTCGGCTGCATCTCCATTTGCACCTCATATACAAATGCAGGTTTGGGAGGTAACGCCACCAGGGGAAGGGGAAAATCACCCCCAGATACTGCGGAGACATTTGTTTTAAAAAACAAAAAGCAGAAATCGTACTGCCGTCCTGAAAGGGTTAAAAACAACCATCGGCTGTAAACACAGAAGCAATGTTACAGTAAGTGGAAACAAGTGTTAGAGCAAGGAAAGAGACAGACAGACAAAAGGATGGTGACAGAGAAGCGAAGTACCTGATAATTTCAGAAGAAAATCTGTCGCTGTTTTTGCAGAAATATCTTGGCTAAAGGGGTGCACTTTGTGAGTGGCTGTGAGCTCACACGGCTCCCGAGACTCTCGTCCATCCTCCTGTATTGCTTCTGGCCCTTTGCCAAACACATGACCAGCTGGTACTGACACACGGGCCACATTCAGATCTCTGGGTTCCTCTTTAACTGGTTTCGGTGGAAGAATAACAGTCTCCTTGTAATTTTCTACCATTTCAGACAAAAGAACGTCCTGAATTTTTAATGGGTTTCCAAGTAATTCTATCCCCTGTTTTCTCTTTTCGGCCGCCTCGTTAAAAAGTGACCTTTCAACCTCAGTCTCCGTAATCTCCTCTTTGACCTTCACCTCTGTTCTTGGAAAGTGCTGATGACAGCGCATGTGGAGCTTTAAACTGAAATGGCGAGACGAGGTGAAGGGGCAAAGTTCGCAGTGGAAGGTTTCCCCTCTGTCCTGGTGCTGGTGAACCTGCTGATTGGACAGAGTTGTTTGAAAAGGGAACAAGAGAGCAGGATAAAAGCTTCAGATGTGAACCTTTGCCTTACTCGCTCCTCCGCCCCCCCCACCCTCCTCCACTCCCCTGCCCCGGTAACGTGCCCCGCACATGTCAAACAGGATACCCTTTTGGTGGTGATGGTGGTGGGCGGGCGGCGGGGGCGGGCGGGGGGGCGGGTGGGGGGGGGGGGGGAGAGGAAGGAAACTACTAACGGCAAAGATCAAATGCAGTAACTTAAAATCATCGTGAAGTGTTGATTCTTTCAAACACAGATTAGATAGTTTGCTTTTAGGAAATAACATTACGGGATCGAATACATAGGTAGTTTGGGACATATGTGCACACGACCGTCAGGAAGGTGAACTAGGTGGACCTTGGCCTTTTTTCGTCCAGCATTTCTTTTGTGCTTATATCATTAGTTGCTTTGTTAAAAAACATCATGCCGTCTTAAACTCCAGCACTACTGCTCACTAAAGTATATCGCTTGTAATCCAGTCATGCCGACCCCAGCAGAGCACATCATTCGCGTTTTAAAAGAATTACCAAGATGACACGTCTTCTAATTTTGTGCAATCAATTAAAAAAAGAGACAAATCTATTACATAGAAAACAACAGATGGCTGGGAGCACTACCAGGGCTGTGGGAGGGGTCAAACAAGGTCAAAACGCAACAGGGTTGAGAAAACGTGGTTTGAACTGGAGTGTACGACAGACACAGTTTTATAACAAGCTCACAGCCATTACTCAATGTACATCACCTACAAATGCATTTTTTCCTAATTGAATAACACACACACACACACACACACACACAGGGCTGCTGCTGTCTTAATTCTGTGTGATATCGTACAACACGGCAAGAGAATTCTCCTTAGTTTATAACACTAACAGGGTCACAACAGCATCAATAGTGTTCTTTTGGAAAGGAGAGAACAATATACAAGCTAAAGATCACTAAATGTGAGGTAGTGCAACTGGTAGCTTGTTTCTCTCATGATTGTTCAGATTTTCGTTTATTTAAATGGTTCCTTCCCCTCCTCCTCCCCCAACAACCTCCTCAATAGCAGCACTGCCGAAAGCATGATAGTGGGGGAAAAAACGGACAGACACTCATATCCTACAGCCCACAGGGCCGTTCGCTGACTGGGACCAATTGCACCCACAACTCCAGAGTTCCCCACGTCTGTCCTTTAACCCAAATGCAGAACCACAGAATCTGAGTTCTCTGGGGAGGGAAACTCACAGGACTTGACTTCATGGTCTTTTCCCTGGACTATCTGCAGTCATTCGCACTGTATCGTTGTCTGCAGGTATAAACAATTTACCTCGACGCACTTTACACGTGAACACGTTTACACTGCCTGATCTACCCAGACAGCAAGTCCACGATTCACATTGCAAGCGGCTCTTGTTATCAGGGAACACTTTGATTTTGCACGATGCATAGTTAAAGGCTAAGCAACCACTTAATTAAGCCAATTTTAATAATTTAAACTAATCCTAATGGCAACAATTTTTCCACCGCTGCTCATTTCGGTTTAGCATTCCAAGTGCAGAACCGGCCAAAATCACAGTGGAATAGAAACGCAAATCAGAGTTCTGTAGTTGCAGATTCAGGTCACAGCTATAAAAAATTTAAAAAATCCAGCTGTGAATAAAGCCCAGGATTTTTCACCACCTCTTTGCAATAGCCGATATTAACAGACCAAAGGGGTCAACATTAAAGAGCAGATCTGGGAGCCCAATTCTGTTCCAAGTAAAGGAATAGGAGCTACTTAACAAGTTAGAAACAACCAGATATTATACATCTATAGTGTCCAAATACAACACCTCTTAATCTGAATTCATTAAGAGTTGAATTCCTTTATATTGGCACATGGAACATGTGAACGGGCACGTTTCAGTTTCACTGGGCACCACCTCGTCTAGAAACCACTAGTGAACTGAATATTTTAATTCCACAGATGAAGGCTATAGGTCATTAACTCAAACATCTAGAGAACAGTAACAGCACTGAAAAGGTAGGTAGGTGTGGGGGAGCTTGGTTTCTGCCACCACAAATGCAGTTAATTACCATTCGACACTTTAATTTCCTCCTATACAAGAAACCCCAATATGGGAACTTTAAGAATTCTCCCAGAGTGATATTTCCCCCTCAATATCAAGAACACTTTTCAATTAAAATAAAATGATTGATGAAACAATATCACTTCCTTGTACCTTCATGTGTGATTTCAGATTATCCTTGCGGGCACAGCGGAAGGGACAGAGGGGGCACTGGTGACTCTTTAACCCAGTGTGAATCACCATGTGCCTCTTCCAGTAGCTCTTGCGTTTTATAACCAGGCCACATATTGGACACTGGAAGGATTTTCCTCCATCTTCCTCAGGGACTACAGAAGGGAAAAAAACACACTTCAAGTAACCCATAGAATTCCTGCACGCTTGCACTGAAATAACAGACACAGTTCATACCCCAGGTCAGAAAGGTTTAGACATCTTCTTTCTGATCTTACAGTAGAATTATTAGTAGCCGGTCTGGCTCAATTGGAAGCACTCTCCCCTGAGTCAGAATGCTGTGGGTTCAAGCATCACGTTGGCACTTTGAACTCATATAGTCTCGGCTGACACTCCAACACAGTGCGAGGGGTGAGCTTTATTGCCGTCCTTCAGATGAGACATTAAACCCAAGGTCCCAAATGCCTGGTCAGTTGGGCGTTAAAGATTCCATGGCAGTACTCGAAACGAGAAGGGAGTTTCTCCTTGGTGAACAATCCCCCAGATAAAATTGGTCTTCATGTTACGGCCGTTAGTGGGACATTCACCCAAAAAACACTCCACTTCATATAATGTCCTCTGAGACCATCTTCCCAGTACGAAAGGCAGTACATCAAACGCAATGATTATTTTATTGAAGCGTGCTCCCATTTGAGAAAGATTTTTTAAAAAATCATGGGCTATTGGTTCCCATTTCTCCTGCTGTACGCAGGTCAAGAACAGAAGGATGGCAAAATTACTTATTCCAACATCCACAACATTATGGCTTGAAAACAAACCTGGATTGTCTCAGTATTTCAGCATAATTTGGGTTTTTAACAATAACAATCATTCCATTTGATATAGTTCCTCATCACATACTTGAAATGTCTCAATGTGCTTCACAGGATTTACTGTGAAGTGTAACGACTGTATTTATAAGCAAACATGGTAGCCCATTTGTTTTGGGCCATTAAAGATTTGATTTTGGATTCATCTCTTTCCCCCTTTTTTCCCCCCACAATTTAGTGAAGGCATATTTAGGAGCATTGTTCACTTAAATAAAATTCTAAACTAAATTGTGATCTGCAAATGCCATTATTGCAAACAGAATAACGAGACATATCAAAGGACACCTATCAAAGGTCACAATGGGGACATGGGAAAATCCCAGAGAGAGGAATACCAGCCCTGAAGAACTGTCATTCCTCTCTTCATTGGGATTTTTCCCTTGTCCATATTTACCTTCACTATCAACATGCCTTTCTTTCTCTGTCGGACGTTGAATGACGGATGTAGATAACAAGCAACTATTTACTTCAGGCACCTGGTCAATACAGATATTTTTTCCCCTCCGTCCGCCCTCCAAAAAAATTGCAAATAAGATAAGTCCAATTTCCAAGTCATGTTAACTATGTGTACAAAGGGAACTACAGATACATTGAGTTATGTAATAATAATCCTTACGTTTGATACTTATGTAATAATAATACTTATGTTTGATATAGCGCCTTTCATGTCAAGGGAGGGAATGTCCCAAAGAGCTTCACAGGATATACTGTAAAGTGCAGTGACTGTGTGTTGTGGGCAATCGTCAATATATTAATGCAATAACCAATGAAAAGGATTATACAATTACCCACAATTTTTTTTGTTGGTTTATTTTACATACATGTGCAATCAGCTCCCATGATTTTGCCGGTGTGGATATTTGTGTCCCAACCATCAGCAGATATACAAGTTCTGCTTGCAGAATAGATTTTCTGGACTTCCTCACCAAACTCTCACAACAAGATTAAGGATGAAACATATGCAGTGAAAGTACATGGAACTGGAATTAGAATGGAGAGTTCCAGTGGATGTATTTACACCATTATAGGCTCAGTGGGTCCAATCTGTCTGAACTGTAATTGCTACAATACAAGATTAAGGTTTTAGTGGGGTGGGCGGGGGAGCAAACCTTCAAATCAGCACACCATGGCCATGTTTTGTTGTCTTAAATGGCCACATCATCATCCTACCCTCTGTGGACCTTCATTCTAACTTCAGAGCTGCCTCTTGTTTGAGGACGAAATAAGACTTGATGGCTTGATTGCAAAGAATCACTCAAGGAATATACAAACACCAAGTTTAGCAATTGGTGCCTTAACAATGATGGGGTGCACAAATTGTGCAAAGTTTGGCCAGTTGTTCCAGTTTAAGCGCTCTGAGACACAACCCCGCGTGAAGGACGTTATAATAAATGTTGTTGTTCTTCACCCAATAATCTAACTGAAATACATTTCTGGAATTGAGGAACTCTGACGTCTCTCTCTCTCTCTCTCACTTTCACCTCCATCCATAAAATACCACAACTGCTTGGCTCATTTCTCTTAATTATTCAAGCGCATTATTCATTACTAGAATTTGTAATAGTGAGAAAAATCACATGGCACAAAAGAAGGTCACCTAAATAAAGTGAAGTTACTCACAGTAAGCAAGCATTTGATTCCCAAATAAAGGGTGGCTAAGAGCTGTGTCCCAGGGCTGCCTTGTCAAATTGAATCAATGACTCAGATAATAATTCTTGTAATGCTGTACCAAAATTTAGAATTTCATCTCAAAGTGCTCCACAGACAATTGGCGACTGCAGGGACTGTGTATTTGACCATAATACCATAAGTCGTAGGAGCAGGAGTAGGCCATTTGGCCCCTCGAGCCTGCCCACCATTTAATAAGATCATGGCTCATCTTCTAACCTAATTCCATTTACCCGTCCTATCGCCATATCCCTTAATCCCTCTATCCTTTAGAATTGTAGACAGATGAGGCAAACATTTTGTACACAATAATGCCCCACAACAATCATGAAGTGAATGACAATTTAACTGGAGGATTTTTGGCTGTGCCACTCCCTTCTCATATAACATCTTCAATGTCCATGTAAACAGTCAGAGAGAACCTCATTTTACATCTCATCCAACAATGCTGTGCTCCCCCAGCATCAATGTAAACCTGTGAGCTCAACGATTCTGGCAATTGGCTTGAACACATAACCTTTTGACTTAAAAGTGTGAGACTAACTGAGGCAGGCTGACACCTCTTGTGTCAAATGGGTTAAGTTAATTAGCTCTCAACAGTGCCAATCATCGGTCGCAGCTTGGCATTGGTTACAATAAAACTGGGAATCCGCACAACCTGTCAGAAAAATGGCATCCCACTTACTTCTGCATTTTTAATTTGAGTGGTTGTCTTAAAGAGTCTTCTGCATAATTTACCTCTTGCAACAGCGTGCATGTAAGGATGTTGAGCAAGTACAGGATCAAACTCAGATGAGAGACTTGTCTACCATTTCAGATAAGCACCCAGGCACACAATAATTTTCCTGATGCCTTCTCTGTTCAAACCCCTCTTGTAATCAGGGTTTTACACTTTGGTACTCATAGTCTAGACTGACACACCAATGCAGGGCTGAAGGTTGTGTTGCATTGGAAGTGCCGTCCTTCAGACGAGGCGTTGAATCGAGATTCCCTCTCCCTGATTGGATTAACCTCTGAGTCAGATGGTTGTGGGTTCAAGCCCCATGTTGGAACTTGGAATCGCACAGTCTAAGATGCTGGGGGCACGGGTGGGGAGGGGGTGGGGCTGCAATGTCAGAGGTGCCGTACTTCAGATGTAACATTAAACCGAGATCCCATCTGGCTGTTCAAGTGGATGTTAAATGGCACTATTCGAAAAGAGAAGGGAGTTTCTCCCAATGTACTAGCCGACGATGCCCCAAATAAAATTGGTTACTCACTTCATACCTGTTTGTGGGATATTGCTGTGTGCAAATTGGCTGCCACATTGACTCACAAAATAGTCATGGCACTTTATATTATAACCTGTGATACACTCTGCCAAAGTGAAAGGCACAGATCTAAGGATTATTATTATATGAGATTCAATGATTGGCTTAATCTTTCCTCCCAAACTAACCGTGTCACTTGTCAGCCTGAAGCTAATGAGGTTTTCTGGAAGGATGGGAACATTATATTTACACAGGATTCTCCCTTATTTTTAAAACCCCAAATTCATGCAAGTATAGACAAAGAATCAAATAATAATAATTCTTGCATTTGATATAGCACTTTACATCTTCGAGACGTGTTAAAGCGCTTCACAGAATATACTGTAAAGTGAATTGACTGTATATTTTGTGAGGGAAACGTAGCAGCCAATTGCGCACAGCAGTGTCCCACAAACAGGCGTGGATTGAGTGACCAAATTATTATTATTATTTTTTAATTTTTTAAAGGATGTGGAGTAAGGAAACTTGCCTAATGTTTCGCCCTGCCCGGGAATCAAACCCAGGTCTTCTCGCTTGCGAGATGAGTACTCTAAAACCCTCGCTGCAACTGGCATTCTTCTGCATGGTCAATTGGAAATCAACAAAGCAAAAAGTAGGCACATAAATCTTTCACGCTATACTCACACCGGCCATGAAACTCTTCCAATAGTATAATACAATAATAAACTAGTGCTTTCAAAGTGGGTTTGGAGAAAAACAATGTAATAATAATAATCCTTGCATTTGATATAGCGCTTTTCATGTCTTCTAGACATCTCAAAGCGCTTCACAGAATATACTGTATAGTGATGTACAAACAGCAGTGTGAAGTTTTAGTGGTTGCAACTCTTAATACGAACACAAATGTACAGTAGACAACATGAATGTATATTGGCTTTTGTTACATACAACGTATAGATACCAACATGCTGAATATGTCTGGTGAGAGCATCATTACTGAATCACCGAACTTAGGCTGATAGTGAAACCTAGACAAATAGGTGGGGAAAATGAGTAAATCAATGGTGTTTCACATCAAACCATGCTTTAACCAACGTAGCTTCTCAATCTGAACCCAAGGGACAAAGTCTAAGAGGCCAAAATGGTAACACACACAAGTACCGACACAGAAAATAAAATATATCCACAGAACCTTTTCTAAAAAAATTACAGAAAGATGATAACTCGCATTCATCATGTCCCAGCTTGATGATTTGCATGCTCTGCTCACCGCGCCCAAACTGCAGACAGTCCGAACTCTGTAGCCTATGTCCTTTCCTTCATTTGGCCCCATGAGCTTATCATATCCATGTTCTCTCCTGGCTCCACTGGATTGCTGTATCCCAGTGGATTAAATTCAAAATCTTTATCCTTGTATTCAAATCCCTCCAGGGTCTCGCCATACGCGACCTCTGTAATCTCCCTCAATCTTACCCCTCTGGCACTCCCCTGCCCAGCAAACCCTTTTAAGTTCCCCCCCTACCCCCTCCACACCAGTGGGTCAGCTTTCAGCTATTCTGCTCTTGCTCGCTGGAACCCCTCCATCTCGCTGCTTTCAACACCTTTAAAGCTAGTCATAAAACCTTTCTTTTCATTTCAAGCTTTTAGTTACCTTACTTCCTCCCGTACCTTCCTCAGCTCCCCCCACTCCCAAATCAGGTTCTCTGTTGGTTCTGTGAAGCACTTTGAGAAGTCCCCAAGAAGTAAAAGGAGCCGTATATATATATATATGTAAAATTGCTCATTATTTCCTTTTACATAACAGGAAATCTCAAATGGGTTCTTAAAATTGATCTTCTGAGTTACTGGCAGTCAATGGAACTTGATGAAGATGGGGGTAATGGCTTTAGGAGTCTTAAGCTGGAGAAAAATCAAACTGCAAAGTTCCGGATCAGTTAAAGTTTCTAGAAAGTGAAGCTTGAGAGAAGAAAATTATTATTAATTATTAATAATCCTTGCATTTGGTATAATGCCTTTCATGTTGGGAGAATTTCTCAAAGCCCTTCACAGGATTTATTTCAAATGTGTAATGTGTATTTTTCAGGCAAACGCAGCAGTACAACTGCGGACCATGAGTGACCAATTTGTTTATTTGGGGGAATTATTGGCCTGGAACCAGGAGAAACTCCCTTCCCCTTTTGAGTTCTGCCATGGGATCATTAATGTCCACCTGAACAGGCAGACAGGACCTCGATTTACCATTTCCTTTGAAGGACGGCACCTCTGACAACGTAGTGTAGTGTGAGCTTAGACTATGTCAGTTGAAAGGGCTGCGCGTGTGCGCGTGGGGTGCGGGTGTGCGCGTGGGGCTGCGCGTGTGTGGGGTTGCGTGTGTGGGGAGTGTGAGGTGGTGGGGGAAGAAGAGAAAGGGGTTAATCTATCCTCCAGATTACCTCGCATTGAAAAGGGACACTGCAACCACAAGATGCACATCAATTCTAAAAGATCTGTGTAACTTAATGCAAGGCAAGAAAACCCTCATCTCAAATAAACCATACATATTTAGATAAACTGACTTCACTGACCTGGATTAACAGATTTGGGAGACTTTGGCATGGGTCCTGGCAACAGCATCTCCAGCGCACTCGTCGGAACCAGCTTTTCTTGCTTGATTTCCAATGGCCGCAATACATCTCCCGGGATCAGATGGTCTTTCCTCTCTACCAGCATGTTCCCAGCGGCTCTGGCCGCCACTTCTTTCAACAAGGCGGCCGACGAGGTCATCGAGGCCAGGGAAAGGAAAGAACCAGCTGGACGCTGATTATCGTGAGCTGAAGACATGTTTCTTTCACTGACTTTCTTTGAAAGAGCAGCCAATGCTGAACTGGCCGATTGCTTCTGAATAGGGCTGTAAGATGGCGCGTATGGGCTGAATCGCACTGGTTCCTCTGCCCTCAAAAGATTTTTGTCTAGGAGTGCTGCGTTTGCAGCAGCTTTGAGCTGCTGTGCAGCTGAAGCCGGTGATAAACTACAAGAGGAGGAACTGTGCAACCAAGTCTCCTGGTCCCAGACAAAGCAGTTGCTTGGACTAGTGTTATGGTTTTGCTCGTGCTTAGCAGCTAGCTTCCTTGCAAGAGCATTCAACTGTAGTGCATGAGGGGAAGATGGCGACAGAGGCAACGCTGAACCGAGACTAACTGCAACGTCTTCTTTTTCTGTAACTCCAGGACTTGCACCAGCAACCATTGACCCAGCCTCCAGCAGTCGCCTCAAATTGCTGCTCAGGGGCTTGTGCAAGATATGGGCCCCAATCTCATGTAAAGCCGGTGAGGCCGCAGGTGACAGCACGTCTGCCTTTTCCAAGGCATCTTTAAGCTGGTCATTTTCAGCACCCAATAATTCCAAAGTGCTCCCGATAGGAGTGGAGCTGCCCAGGGAGCTATCTGGAGAGGTGTCTTGTTCGTGCAGCCTGTCACTAGGAGATGCATTGAGGTCCTCCTGAACATCTAAATAGGAGACTTCAGACGGTGTTTCGGAGGCATTTCCAAACCAGTCCTCCTCTTCGCCCAGTTCCCCTCCTGTTTCCTCCTCTCCGTTTCCATCTGTTTTTTTGATTGAAGAAAAATTAGAAACACAAAACGTTAGAACATTCAACGCGTATCCATCTCGAAAACATGAGGCTACAATTGAAAACATTCCCTCCTCCCACCCCCGTAGGAAAATGCGGAAGTCAATTTGCCACAGCAATGTCCCACAAACATTCATTAAACAAATGACCAACTTTATTTGGCAATTGTTGTCCAGGACACCAGAAGAAACTTCCTTCTCATTTTGAAATTGTGTCATGGGATTGTTAATGTCAACATGAACAGGGAGAGGGCCTCAGTTTAACATTTCACTCAAAGGACAGCATTGACGACAAACATTGTTTCCTCGGGGCTGCTTTGGCGTGTCAGCCCCGACTATGAGCTCAATGCCCAATGAGGGGCTTGACTCCACAACATTCTCACTCAAGAGATGAGAGTGCTACCAACTGAGCCAGGCTGACACCTGACTTTAGTTTTAAAAATAGAGAAATTCAGGACTGACACCTATTGCACATGTTCATAAAATTAAGCCTGAAGTATTAATTCAAATTCTGAGCTTGAAGTCCAGGTCCCCTTCTTCTAGAAGTTTTCACCATATTAAACGTTATCAGAGTTTAGTTTATCTCTATATCCTTTTAGATTCTTGAATACCTCAAAAGGATCTCTTCTGGGTTTACATAGCATTCTACCAGTATAAGAAAGAAAGAACTCCTGTTTTTATAGTCTTATGTCAAAACATCTCACAGCTCATCACAGGTAATTACAGTCACACAAAGTGACTTTTTTCAAGAAATTGCAGCAATCATTTTGTGCATAGCAAGGTCCAACAAATAGCTATGAAGTGAACTATCAATTAATCTGGAGGATTGTTGGCCATGAAACAAAGACAGGTGAAACTTCCTTCTCTTTGAAATGTTCCATGGACCTTTGCTTTCTTCCTGGTCCTGTACTATGCTATGTATTTTGCCCTCTTGTAATGCAATCCAATATTCACCTGAACAAACAGACAAAACCTGGGTTTAATGTCTTATTCGAAGAATGACACCTCTGACAATTCCCACAGTGCTGTACTGAGCCTAGACTGTGAGCAAAAAGTCACAACAGGAGGCTTGAACCCACAAGCTTCTGATCCAGGGATGAGCATGCAACAAGCTGAACCAGACTGAAAACACTGGGCCCAGTGATCTGGACAGATTAGAGGATAAAGCGCCAGGTTTCCGATAACCTCAAACACCAAGTATTGTACTAATTTATAGCTCCGTAGAATCCCATGTGCGTAATCCAGAGAATCCCCACATCGGTTAAGGAAGGAATGAAATAGTAATGTTAATACCTTAACCCCAATGTAATTAATTTTTACACAATGCATTTTGCTCTTGTAGTAATTATAAAAGTGACAAAAATCAAACTTAATATGGTTTTATTAGTCACATGCAATGCACCTAAGGGGTGCCACGTGGGAGCTATACCAGCTAAAACTGCTTGGTGCTTCTTGTGCTGGATTACAAGGAGGCCAGTCTAGAAGCAGACAGAAATCACGCCATTTCGTTAGTTCTACCTGTTGGTTAGGAAATAAAGAAAACATTAAAAAATGTTTTAAACAATCCACAATGTATTCCAACGTTTTATTGTGGCCCCTGGCTGTTTTACTCCAGGATCAGTTTTTACTGTACTGATCTAGTCTGCTCACAGTCACTTGTTACACTTCAGCATCACAAAGCCACTCTTGTACTTTACGTTTATCTTCCACTCACAAAATACACAGTCAATTCACTTCACGGTATATTCTGAAACGCTTCGAGACGTCTCAACGAAGTGATAAGGCGCTATATCAAATGTAAGGATTATTATTATCTTCCCGCAATATTGCAGCAGGTGACTTGAGTGTTATTTGATTGGAAAATGAATGAATCTCATTTCAGTGTGAAAATCGGAAGCAACATTACTCGGAATCCTTTACAACAACTTTGAGGAAACAGACTAGAAAACAAAACGAAAGCACTGCAGGGCCTGAAAGACCTCAAACTGCCTGCAAAGAAATGGTAGAAAGTAAGTGAAAATGCACAAGAAGAGAGTTTGTGAAAATAGAGGTTTGAGCTGCTTAGGAATTGTATCACTCACTGCAGGAAAAGCTCCCTTTGTGACTATACAGGAGGCTTTTCAGCATTAAGGGCAAGGTTACAAATGGTGTGTGTTAATCTGGTTTCTGGATTACTGAAGCCATAAATAATATTATAGCAGAAAACTGTCGGGTTTGCTTCCATTTGTCATACGAGTGAGCTTCATTTAAAAGTCAAACTGTAAATCTGTGCAAATAGAGTTTATAAAAAAAGAGAAACTTAGAGAGAAAGATGCAAGTAGGGTTCTGCATTATACATGAGAGAATATTTACAATAAATCACAATAGGTAAAAGCAGACAATCCATCAACCATTAATATACTCCAAAAGGGTTCATACCATTGAGAGCTGTAAAATTGGTGAGTGGCGCCATGGTAACCAATACTAGAAGCTAAGCTTTCTCAAAGATATCTGCGAGTTACAGGAAGTTTAAAAATAGTGAATCAAGTAGTCTAACTAGCTCCACTGACAAAAAAACAATACACTCCCAGGTCAGATAGCCTAGTTTAGATTTCAACGTCCTTATTAAAATTCTGCCTCCCACGAGTCTTCAGAGGTGTTGCAAGATGGAACACCAGAGTGCCTCATAATATCCCAACCTTCGCACTACCGAGTGCACCTCGAATACGAGAAGTCTTTGTGCAAGGCAGCTTTAGCTAACTTTGCCAATGCTTTAAGGGGGCACAGACCTGATCTCAGGGGGAAGAACATGAAATGAACAATTTAGATTCAATTGCTTCACAGAGTGGATGGTGAAGATTCAGAACAGACTGTCCCGGCAGGAGGTGATCAGGACCTAAAACGGTAACATTTCTAACGGGATTCCTTAATCCCAGTAGCCCATGGAGACTCCTTCTGGCAACTGGATGCATGTCACACTAATCCCCAGGCAGTCAACGCTGGCCAGGAAGAGACTGCATTGCTGCAAAGATGCTGCAGGTCAATGTAATGTAATAATAAATAATAACACTTACATTTGATTTAACACCTTTCACGTCAGGAGGATGTCTCAAAGCACTTCACAATAGCTTCCCATTACTGGGAAGAATCCCCATTTGCACTACCAGTCCTTATTAAACAACTCTGTTAGATATTGCAGGTTTTGGAGCCTATTTTTGACCATCTCCAGGGGGAATTAGATAGTTATATGGTGGCAGTGGAGATCTGGAGGCACAGAAAGAATCGTGAGAGACAGTGAGCAATCGCATTTTAAAAATCGAAATAGAGCATACAAAACACAATACTTCTTTCACAATTCCTATATTCTTATTAAAGGAAGAGTGTCCAGGGGAGATGATCATTAAAGGAAAATTAAACAAAAGTGAAAGAGCGGATTTTATTGGCGATATTGCCATAATCCAAAATTTCAACGATAAATTACATGAGAAATTCTTGGAATTCGTTGCCATCAGTGAGATAGTTTCCTCATTTTCATCAATGACCAATCCATGGAATCTTATTCCGGAGCTCCGCGTGTAGCTGTCAAAATACGAATGATAATTCACACATACGGGAATTCTAACACCCACAGTACAAAGACTGGGGAAATAAACATTGCATTTCAACTAGCAAAGTGACAATGAGCCATTGATTTCACCCAGTGGCTTACTCCCAACTCCCATCACCAGAGAAATGTCCCAAAACTAACAATAACTCCAGTGAAGATATTTAGGCAAGACTATATAATAAAGCAAATGTTGTATTTTTAAAATTCAGAAGGGAATAGGAGAAGTCAAAAAACACAATTCTGATGAATTGTGAGAAAGACGACAAAACCTAAACAGGGAAAGAGAAATCAGTCAGAATGAGAACTGCAGCTTAAAGACTATTTAAACTTGGGGTACAGTCAATGGAGCACAGGAGGTTAAGAAGTGATCTGAAAATAATAAAGGGAATTGACAGCTAAATAGAGGTCCAAGCTTCCCTTTGGTACACAGATCCAAAACAGGAGATCTATTCTGGAAATTTATCTTTGTTAGAAGTGATAACTGAAAACATTTTTTCACAAAGTGATGCGAGAATGTTGAATGCACTGGACAAGGACAAAAGTGCATTATTCACTGGGATGTTCAAAAGGCAGAAGGTTAGCTTCTATGTGTGGGGAAGGTGAAGAGAAACAGTAATCTGTCTTGTTCAGAAAACAGTGTTCTTACTCCAGCTACCAACAATTCAGAGGGATTGAGTTTCTGTTTGCCAGTGATTGGAGTATTCCTAGCTAGGAAAGAAGAGAAAGGAGGGAGTGAAAGAGAGAGGGAGAGCAAGATAGGGAAGAAATACATGTTGCTTACATATATCTAGAAAATCAGTCTGGCTAGACAGAAGTCAGGATTCGTAATCCAAAGCTAAATGATGGGCTTCTACTAGACTATGCCCATTACTCTACTCTCCCGTCACCAGGAGTGACATTGGCGTGAGCTCATCAGTTTACCTCCCTCTTCCCAAAAAGAAAATTGTGCACCCATACGTCTTCCTTATTTGTACGCATATCCCCCCCACCCCCCATCTACTCTCTTGAACTAAGATACCTATACAATGTTTACTCTAGCCACTTGTCTACTTGCCCCAATGAACAGTTCATATTCTTAACGAACATTAAGGGAACAGATCAAAAGTTGCCCAGGTTGGTTAGTCTGTCAATACTGTATTACACAAAGAAAGGTTGATGCAGAATTGATGTTCTGTCACTGGTTCCACAAGCGCACTTAATAAGACGACATCACACCAGAATTGTGAAACATGTGAAAATACATTTCAGTAACCGATCATTCATTCCTGCACCAATTTTCTGTCTACATTAACCACACAAATGTATGACTTTTAAAACCAAGTTGTGGCACACCGTGTTGCAGAAACCAAGAACCAGCAATAGCACAATATGAACTGAATTGTGTCCAAT